ACCGCCGAGAGTGATGCGACGACACTCTCGACGCCTTCGGAACTGGTTTCTTCGCGAGTGACCAGCCTTCATTCCGAGGCGCACACGGAAGTCGACAGTCCTCCGCTTCTATTTTCTTTTGAGGACTATGCTGCCCGGCTCGTTCCAACGCTGGGTACTCAAGCTCAAGGACAAGGAGTGTGTGCGGTTTCTTCTCCGTCCGGCAAYAGCGACATATYRTCTTCAAGTGGTTCGTCACGGGATTCGGCGCGCGAGTTCAAGATAGAGGTTTTGGACCCGCTCACATCTGAGGACTTTGCATGGCTTCCTCTCCCGACCACAGACTGTTTGCCTGGACCGCAATGCGCAGCACTTAGCACTCATCTCCACACTTACCTTTCCTTCTATGCACCACCAACTTCGCCGACGGATGACGAAGTCGCGGTGGGGGACATCCTGGCGTACGTTACCAAGGTGGCCCGCGAGTTTCGCACGCAGCGGTACGATAACAACAATGCACTGCTCATGTATGTCCGCATCCAGGTTGGGCAAGCGTCCTGCAACGCTTTGTTGGATAGCTGCGCGACTCGCAACTTCATGAGCTTGTCTTTTATGCAAAGAGCTGGCCTTGGCGCACAAGTTCGGAGAAAGGCAAACCCGACGGCGATCAAGTTGGCGGATGGAAAGACGCAGCAACTACTCGACCGTTACATCGAGGCCGTACCGGTCTACTTCGCACCTCATGCATGCGAACCGGTGACATTCAATATTCTCGACACGGACTTCGACATCATTCTGGGAATGCCTTGGCTTGCAAGTGCGGATCACACGGTCAACGTCCATTGGCGGACTCTTAGCGTTCGTGACGCCTTCGGCGCGGAAGTGGCATGTACGATTCCTCTACTGCACTCTTCGATCCGGTGCCAAGTGGTGACGGCCAAATCATTCCGGGCGACTTGTGCTTACGAGCAGCCCGAGGAGATCGACATATGTTTCCTACGGACCGTCGCGGTAGCCGACTCTTCACCCACGGACTTGTCTTCGGACCCCCGTGTGGTACGGTTGCTGGACGAGTTCGCCGACATCTTCGAGTCACCTACCGGTGTGGTGCCCGGTCGGCCGATCTCTCACGAGATCATTCTTGAGGCCGGTGTCGTGCCGCCGAAAGGTTGCATCTATCGGACGAGCAAGGAGGAGCTTGAGGTACTCCGCGCACAACTCGATGATTTGTTGGCCAAGGGCTGGATCCGCCCGAGTAGCTCCCCATATGGAGCACCAGTTCTCCTCGTCAGGAAGAAGAACTAGGATCTACGATTGTGTATCGACTACCGCAAGCTCAACGCGCAAACYGTCAAGAATGCGGGGCCTCTTCCTCGCATCGACGATCTTCTCGAGCGGCTGGGYGGTGCGAAGTATTTTTCCAAGTTGGATTTGAAATCAGGATATCATCAAATCTCGACTCARCCGAATGATCGCTATAAAACCGCATTCAAGACGCGGTACGGGCATTTTGAGTGGGTGGTCATGCCTTTTGGCCTCACCAACGCCCCGRCGACATTCCAGGCGGCGATGACCAATGAGTTCCGTGCAATGTTGGACCGGTTCGTGCTGGTCTACTTAGACGATATTCTCGTCTACAGTCGGACATTGGAGGATCATCTTGGACATCTTCGACGAGTGTTGGAGACCCTCCGCCATGCCAAGTACAAGGCCAACCGCGACAAGTGTGAATTTGCCCGGCAGGAGCTGGAATACTTGGGCCATTTTGTCACACCGGAGGGCATCAGTCCACTATCGGACAAGATTCAGGCCGTCCARGAGTGGCCGGAGCCTCGGAACGTCACGGATGTCCGCTCATTCCTCGGTCTTACCGACCACTATCAGCGCTTCATCAAAGGCTACTCCAAGATCGCGGCCCACTTGAACAAGCTTCAGTGCGAGGATCGGCCGTTTGAATTTGGAGAGGAGGCGCGGGGATCATTCCTCGCTCTCAAAGCCGCACTATTGTCCGCGGAGGTCTTGCGGATATACGACCCGCTCGCGCCTACACGTGTCACTACGGATGCGTAAGGCTATGGCATTGGTGCAGTCCTCGAGCAACATGATGGTGTGGACTGGCACCCGGTCGAGTACTTCAGCAAGATAGTGCCACTCGTGCATTCCATTGACAATGCACGCAAGAAGGAGCTGCTCGCCTTCGTCCACGCGCTCAAGCGGTGGCGGCACTTCCTCCTTGGTCGAAGCCAATTTCGCTGGGTAACGGACAACAATCCGTTGGTCTTCTACAAGACCCAAGACACCGTCAACAGCACCATCGCTCGATGGATGACTTTCATCGACTAGTTCGACGTCTTTCCTGATCACATTCCCGGGAAGTCGAACCGTTTTGGGGATGCTCTCTCACGGCGTCCGGATCATTGTACCGCAGTCTACTCGACCTTCTAGATTGACGACGACCTGCGGAACAGCTTCATCTGCGGCTACCAAGCCGACCCCGATTTCCGCGACAAGTACGCGAATTGCTCCTCTCCTAATCCGGCTCCTTTTCACTATCGGATCCAAGAGGGGTACTTGCTTGTCCACACGCGGGGGAAGGACCTTCTTTGCGTACCGAGTGATCCTCACTTGCGTACACGGCTTCTTGGCGAGTTCCACGACGCTCCCGCCACTGGACATTTTGGAGTCAATCACACGATTGCCCGACTTCGCCAACGATTTTGGTGGCCCGACCTTCTCGGCGACGTCACACGCTATTGCGAGTCATGCGAGGTTTGCCGACGCTGCAAATCCCGCAACCATCGTCCGTACGGCGAGTTACGACCATTGCCAGTCCTGTTGCGGCGAAGGGAAGCAATTGCCATGGACATTACCGGCCCGTTCCCCAAGCACAAGACCGGAGTGGATGGGATTCTCACGGTGGTCGATCGACTCACTAAGTTCGCCATGTTTTTGCCTTGTCGCTATCATGCCAAGGCACCGGAGTTGGCCGAGGTTCTTTACGCCGGTTGGATTCGCACCAAGGGTTACCCCAAGGATATCGTCTGCGACCGCGACACTCAGTTCATGTCCGGTTTTTGGTTGGCGCTCATTAAGCGATGGGGCTCATCTCTCAAGCCCAGTTCAGCTCGCCACCCTCAGACCGATGGCCAGACGGAGAGGGCGCATCAGACYGCACAGGTTCTCCTTCGCACTCTCATCCGCCCCGACCAGAAAGACTGGGTTGAGCGACTGCCAGATGTTGAGTTGGCCTACAACTCTTCCATCCACCCGGCTATTGGGATATCGCCCTTCGAGTTCGAGCATGGCTCGCCGGTCACATCACCGTTGGACACTATTACTCCACGCACGGCCGAGAGCGACGACTATCTTCTCTTCTTGTGTCGGATGCAAGAGCTTCTTGTCAAGGCACGCGACCAGATGGCTAAGACGCAACAGCGCATGTGCCAACAGGCAAATCGCCAGCGCCTTCCTTGTCCAATCCGCGCTGGAGACCTTGGCTGGGTTTCAGCAGCGGAATTCAGCCTTGAACAGGACATCTCTCGCAAGCTCCTTCCGAAATGGATGGGGCCTTGGCCGATCATCGAGCCCGCTGGGGACACACCTGAGGGGCCTTCCTTCACGATTCAGGTGCCTAGCCACTTGCCCGTCTACCCAGTCTTTCATTGTTCCAAATTGGCTTTGTACACGCCTGCGGAACATGATGATTTTCCCGGGAGACGTACGCAGGATCCACCTTCTATGGATGGTTTTCAGGAGGTCGGCGACATCATCTCCCAGCGATGCTACGACAACAAGCCAACTGAGTGTCTGGTGCATTTTGCTTACTGCACTTATCGAGCTGATCGCTGGTTGACCCGTGCGGAACTACAAGCGACAGCTCCAGACGTACTCGTACGCTACGAACGCAAGATGCAAGGCAAGCCGGATTCTTCGGCTCCACGCCGCGCCCACGTCCAGGTTCCACCTTCAGACCGACGGCTTCGCCCTCGCCCCGGCTTGACTTCGTAAGGAGGTGGGGGTGTTACATGCAGCGCGTGCACACACGGGCCATTTTGCAGGCCCGACGGCCATTTTGCAGGCCCGACGGCCATTTTGCAGGCCCGACTGGATTCAGGCCAAAACCCTGGATTTCAGGCCGAAAGCCTGAAATTCAGGGCTTACAGGCCCCATTTCGGTTCAGGCCGAAAGCCTGACTTTCAGGGCCTACAGCCCCTGCGACGGTTCAGACTAAAAATGGTAATAGCATTTTTAGCCTGAACCCAAGGGCCATTTTCGGTCGTTCATCAGAACGACCGGCCCTGAAACTCAGGCACCGAACCAGGGTAAAAGGGCCTTTACCCGATATAGGCCTCAGGCCTTGTAAAAATAGAGCAGCACGGGCCTTGTAAAAGATAAAGCATTGTGAAAAGGTATCTTGCCAGGGCTCAGAAACGTGAAAACAGGTCAAAAGTCAAGTTCTCTATCAACAGGCACATCTAAATTTAAGGCAAAGGGCATTGTCAAAAGACTTACCTGTTCACCAGGAGATGTGTATGTCATGTCTGTTCGAGTAAGGGTGTGTCTGTACGTGTAGGCAGTGTACCTGTTCGTGCAATGGAAAGTGCCTGTTCAAGTAGTAAATGTGTCTGTTTGTTTAGAGTTGTGCCTGTCCGAAAGTGAAGTCAGTAGGCGCAGTCCCAGTTCTGGTCTAAGTCAAGGGGTCAGTCCAGATCCAGACTTTCAAGTC